TAAAATTCTTTGCTCTACATATCTGGCACATCACCAGTGAAATATACTTGAATGACAAACTTTTTTACCAATGGCTTGAAAAAAATTTGGCCAAAATTTTCCAAGTTGGATTGTGGGCATTCACCCTTCCATATACCCTTTCAAATGGAAGGGGATTGAGGAAGGGTGAATTCGGTTGCTGTAGACAAAAAAAATATGTACAGAATAAAAACTATTCAACCAATTGCAAAGGTTTGAGGGAGTGATTTACAATGTATACAAGAACTTAAATCTCAATTCTCCTCATTCTACAGCATGCTACAAAAATTTTCTCCAATTAAATAGGCAAGACATTTAATTTGTAAAAATTAAGCATTTACCAGCTTCTGTTTGTTTCAAGGGTGAGTTTGCCTTTGCTATGCAATCTCCAGTTTTGATCTGACTCTGCTCATCATATGCCATTACAACAAGAAAATCCACCACTTGAGAAAGAGCTTCTGCATCATAACATCGTCCATCAACACAGTCAGGAGACCATGCTACATCAAAAGATATCTGAAATGAACAATTAGAAACTGATATACAGTTTCAAGGTAGTTCTAACTTCTTATGTTTATTTACCGACAATGGGGTAACAGTGAAAAATCTTATGTATTATTGTCAATATCTTTATTATAAAAGTGATGGATTTATATGATTTGACTGCCAATGACTCTTTTGTCACCACAACTACTTGAGAACTTGCTTCTTGTAACAAAAAACTTGTCTGCTTGAGATTGTACTGATACTGTACAGAGAAATTCTATGTTGGTCATTCATGGGATTCAAAGGATTGAGCAGTATATTACTATGGACTAGCCCTAATTATGCTCCCAAAAAACTTGGCCCAAAGTGTTTCATTCATAGTGATGATTCATTTCAAGTGATTACCTGTGCATTTTTGACTGCAGCACGGAAGGCTGTTGCAGTTTCATTAACCAGCTTTGTGAGCAGTGTGACTTCCCTGGACCTCTTGGGTATTGGTGATTCAATATCAATATTGACTCCATCGGCATGCCGGGCCAAGGCTTCAGTAGTTAGGTTCTTCACCCACTTTGTCCTTATTTCCTTGCTGCTAAGTTTTTCTGTCGGAAAATTTGCTGCCAAAACAACTCGTACTCCCTGGAAATTAATGCCACAGTAATACATAAGGTATATGACTTGTTAACATTCCTGACCAAATAGCTTGTGCCACCATATCTTATTGCACTGCATTGTATCTCAACCCTTGAGGGCATAAATTCTCTACAAAAAATATTGGGAACTAAAATGTTTCAAAAAACACATATCCAAGGTAACCCAATCAAAATTCAACAAGTGCATTTGATTTCTGGATCAAAAACAGTTGGTTAGAAACACAACTTCAGGTTTTTGGCTCTTGTATAGGAATTTCTGTTAGCACATTTTTCACTTAAAATGCTTCATGCAACGAAATACTTGTGAACAAGCAAACAAGGAAAAAAAGTTGCTATTCCACACTAAAGCTTAGCGAGTTTACCACACCATTAGGCTGGACACATGCATTGTTGCTATATCAATAAATCAAATAAAAAGGCAAGGAAAACAGCTCGACCTGCCTCACCAAAAGTATATGTATGTATATGTGTACAATGAAATTGAAAAATGAAATTAATCAAATTAAGTAAAGGAAATAAGTTGATCGAATAGAAGAAATCCAAGTTTTCTCAACGTGTTCAACCTTGTTACGGTTAGAGAACCATTCTAACGCTTGGTGATGTTTAGATTCTCGGAAAATTCCATGCAAATGAAGTCACAGCCTGTCATATCCCTCGGAACATGACCCGACAAGTCTTTGTCCTAATAAAACGCTTCCTTGAGTTTCTTATCCTATTTTTTTTGGAGGTTTAAAAAACTCCATGAGCAATCAATTAAATAAATCGCTCCAACACTTACTCTCTTGTGAGCTTCGCACATCAGTTCATCATCCCATGGTCGAAACAGTGCAATCGTCGTCACTTTTCCCCAATCGTATTTTCTCCAATCGTTCGGCTTAGTGGAAAACATTAGGAATTCTTTTCCTGGCGGTCTTGAGATTGTGTCGCATAATGACGGATCTTCACAAGGGCATTTTCCGCTAACAACGACAGAAATACCACTAAAAAGTAGGACGACGAAGGCATACCACCAGGCCGCCATGACTGAGTTTGACAGGGTCAAAGTTACTAGTCGAGATTTCAGATAGACAATGAGAGACTGGAAACGAGGAAAGGAATTTTTTTTTTCCTGTGTCATATGATCGTCATTTGGTAATGACTTCTCAAGCGTGAAATTTAAGGAAAACAAATGTTTACTCCCAGAAGTCGGCCAAAATT